ATCATCACAACAGCACAATAAGCCAGCAGGAGTTGTAAATGTTAGAGTTACAATAAGGGAATGACAGCTGGTAAATTATAGAGTTGCGGGCGGCAACACACGACGTAGTCGGGTGTTGTCGCCAGGGCTAGCTTAATAAAGAAGGTTGCAATGAGGGAATGAATGATACCGGGCGGCAACACACGACGTAGTCGGGTGTTGTCGCCAGGGCTGGCTTGAAAGATGGGTGCAATCTCGAACATAATCCTCCTTCTTCTATCTGTCTTTCTGCCGAGGTATCGCAGCTCCCGCTGACTTAAATGCTATTTCCTATTTCCTATATCCTATTTCCTATTTCCTATTCCGGTGAAGCCAAAGTATAAGGATAGAGATAGTCATAAGCCAACAAAACTGAACATTGATGGTTCAATACAAGTTAGGGGTAGGAATAAATCATTAATATTTAAGGTTAGTGCAATCATCACAACAGCACAATAAGCCAGCAGGAGCTGTAAAGGTTAGAGTTACAATAAGGGAATGGCAGCTGGTAAATTATATAGTAGCGGGCGGCAACACACGACGTAGTCGGGTGTTGTCGCCAGGGCTAGCTTAATAAAAAGAAGGTTGCAATAAGGGAATGAATGATAACGGGCGGCAACACACGACGTAGTCGGGTGTTGTTGCCAGGGCTAGCTTGAAAGATGGGTGCAATCCGAACATAATCCTCCATCTTCTATCTGTCTTTCTGCCGAGGTATCGCAGCTCCCGCTGACTTAACTATTGCGTCTCGACAACACTAGCATTTCTGAAACCATTCGAGTACAAGTAAGTTTGCGGCTTGTTGTCGAATACAGCTACTAGCAAGATGAGACAAGGTTTTCAAGTTCAGAGTCCTCGACACGGGGATCTCTGAGTTGCTTGGATCGTCCTCCCCACTTTCTGGATCAATGGATTGATTCAAGTTGCTACAGTAGCTACCGTACCGTAGCTAGAGTGTGCGACGTACGATCCACTCAAGAATAGGTACGGTACTTCAAGAACAGATATCGTTGCTTGGCTCTTCCAACAATAAACAACCGTGAAATTGGACCCACAACCAGGCACTCGGCTCCTTATAGCTAGCGTAGCTATTTTAATAAAATAGGATTCGATTCCTGTCTCACTCTGAAACCTGGGACCAAACACTTCACTATTTACCCATCCACTTGTCTAGCTAGCTAGCTAGAGACCCTTTTAGCTACAGTGTACTAGCTAGTATGCATAGCTACCTGTACCATCCCTTTTACCTCGGCAGTCTATCTGCCTGAGCCCTCACCTCCTTTTTTGGTATTTCCTGTTTCCTGCTTCCTGCTTCCTGCTTCCTGTTCCGGTGAAGCCAAAATATAGGGATAGAGATAGGCACAAGCCAACTCTACAAATTTAGGGGTAGGAATAAATCATGGTTATTCAAGGTTAGTGCACTCAACACAATAAACCAGCAGAAGCTACAAAAGTTACAGGTACATACGGGAGTGACAGCTGTAAAATTATGGTTAGCGGGCGACAACACCCGACTAGCGGGCGGCAACACACGACGAAGTCGGGTGTTGTCGCCAGGGCTACCTTAAATAAAAAGAAGGTTATAATGAGGGAATGATACCGGGCGAAGTCGGGTGTTGTCGCCAGGGCTACCTTGAAAGAAGGGTGCAATCTCAAACATGTCATCCTTCTTCTATCTGTCTTTCTGCCGAGGTATCGCAGCTCCCGCTGACTTAGTCCTCTCAACAAAAAATGGCTTGCAGCTCAGTTATCTAGTCTAGCTACCGGTACCGGTACCGGTACCGTAAACGGTTAGTATACGATTGCATTATTATTGTTATATTGATACCATGCAGGGATCTCCACACTCCTCCTTCATCCCAGCCACCAATAAAACTAACATGCACAATGGACGCCACTACTACTATTACTACTACTACTCACATTGATCCCAAAGCCGCTGCATTGCTGTGCGTGGTCATTACTATTCCTCTGCTACTGATTCAGCAACTACTATTGCAACCCAAAACAAAGAAGAGCAGCAGTTCCATTCCCGACGCCACAAATGCCGTGCCAGGATTGGGCAATGCGCTGGAATACAAGGAAGATCCACCGGGTTGCATTCGCGCGCAACATGGGGGGGGGGGGGGGGGGGTTGCATTCGCGCGCACAAGATGCCACCAAGAGGAAAGTCTTTCGTCTCAATTTGGCCGGCCGCAAAATGGTAATTGTGGGTTCCTGCCCTGTCACCATGAAGCACGTGGCCAGTCAACCCGAATCGGTCTTGTCGTCGTGTCGCGCCGTGGCCGAAATTGGATTCGAATATACCATGGGACACTTTAATGTTTATGAAGGAACGGCATGGCACAAGGCCATTCTCAAGAATCATTACATGGGCGACAAGTTGGAGACGGTCTTTTTGCCACGCATCTACAAGGCTTTGGAGCATGCTACGGAACAAGAAATGCAACTACTTTGAATGGACAACACTACTACTAGTAGTATCTACACACAACAAACTACAGGCCCCGACTTGTTTCCCTTTGTCCGTCAATGTTTTTTGCGGGCCATTTTGGACGAATTTGTGAGTCCCCGTCTATTGGCCAACCATCCGTCCTTGTTGCAAGACTGCATGATCTTTCAAGACAAGGTCGAAGATGCCACGGCCAAAGCGGCTGTCTTGCCGCGATTCCTCGCGTTGCCCTTGTGTTTGTGGCCCACTCAAGCGGCACGACGGCAACTCCAACAATCGTTGGCGGCAATTCTGCAACAAGAGATTTGGAATCATCATGGTAGCAAAGATAGTATGGGTCCTTGGGCGCAAACTTACTTGGAGGAAGGAACGTCCCCCGAACGAGCCGCCGAACATTTGATTGGATTGATCTTTGCCGGACACAAAAATCCCAGTATTGGAGCGGGACAAAGTTTGTGCTTTTTGCGGACGGAATTATCGTCGGAGCAACAACAATGCGCCACCCAAGAGGCCCGTCAACTGTGTGCAGCCTTTCAAGACAAGAACAAAAATCTCACCGAGGCATTGTTAAATGCCACCACCTTGCGAGCCTGTGTCTTGGAAACCATGCGTGTCACGTTGGGAGCCATTCGGTATGCCGAAAGCGCCGTGAAATTGCCGGGAGATATGATCATTGAGGCGGGGGAAACCGTGTCTCTGGCGCATCATGCCATGCACATGGAACCGTCGCTGTGGGGAGACAATCCCGCTCAATTTTCGTTGGATCGTTGGCAGCAACAAGAGACAACAAACAACGACTCGTCCTTGGAAATTCCCGTGGATCACTACAAATTGACGACGTTTTCCAATGGCTTGCACAAGTGTCCGGGTGAAAAGGTGGCATTGGCCATGATGGAACTGTGGTTGGCAATCATGTTGACACGAGATGCCCAACTCGTGGGTGACTTGCCCCCGGTTTCCTTTGAACGGGCGACGCTGGCGCAGCGGGAAGGACCCGTGGGCTTTTCCGTGCGATCGTCCTCGTCGTCGTAGTACAACGGCGACAACAAGAGAGTGCAGTCTCCCAACGGACTGGCTGCAGTGAGTACGAACGATTGAGCGTTTCGTTGAGGATCTATGTGCTCTCGGGTTGATTCGATTTGATTCGGTGAATGCTGCCTTCAAAGTCACATCTGTGCGACGATTCCATCGCGTGTGCAGGTTCTGCTCCATGCTGTGATTGACTCATTCGGCAACTCGCCACGGTCACTTGGCCTGCACACTCCTACCGTAACAAGACGACATCCGGTAACCTAGCTAGCTGGCTATAATAGCTCAATTTTTTAGCTTCCAAACTTTTTTCGTAGCTATTGGTAGGTACCTGGTTCCGTAAAGAGTATAAGATGTTGCCGACTGCTTTGAAATGTTTCGCTCCATGTTGAGCTGCTTACCGGTAACTAATCACGGCATGACGATGAATCAGAACGCACCCTGCCAGATATTGATAAATGTCAATACGAGAATCAGATATCCAAGTGTCTTGTGATGTAGTTCGCAGCAAAACCGACCACTACTGGTAGCATCGACCGTCTTGACGGGTCGAAAGGGCGCCATCAATGGCTGGAGTAGGACCAGCACCAACACGGCGGCACCGAGCCCCGTGCTGAATGAAAACTGGGGCTGCGATTCCCAAAGACGTCAAAAAAATCGCACCGTACAAGTACGGTATGTACCGGTACAGTCGTACCGAACCAACGTTTTTGTGAGGGAGCAAAATGCGTTGGAGTACAGAGCTCAAACATACTTTTGAGGCTACAAGTAGTTCCATTTTTGGAAAGCAGATTTGCCGCGTGAAACACGCGCTTATGGATCACTGAGCATACAGCAATCAAAGTCACCAGAGCGAGGTGTTAATGAAAGTTGTCCGCAATCACAGACCAAGGCCTACATTTTCTTTCGAGGAGGTTAGTTGCTGTCATAGCAATTGGCTAGCTAGCTAGATACATGTTGTGCTTCGAGTCGGGCCCGTTTCATTTAGGGGCCAGGTATTGGTAGATGGGGATGGGGATGGGCCTGGTCTTTGGCCCAGGAGTTCGAACAACTGGGCTAGCTACTAGTTAGCCCTGACCTGTTTTGTTTGACTCTAAAACCCGTCAAAATTTCAAAAATTGAAGCAGATATCATGCCTATGAGTGGCTAGTACATGTAGTATGATAGGGCCTGGAAAGTCTTTGGCTAAGGAAAGGCACTGTCCTGCGTTCACCCCTTTCCTTGGTTTCCATGTTGCCCTGCTTGCGCACTTGATTGCTTGCCTTGCGTTTCTGCGTCGTGCCCTCCCCTCGAGCTCTGTCCCCATCCTCATCTGAGCTCTCTCTAATCCTAAGGAAAGGGTAAGTAAAGGCGTATGTGCTCGTCCTGGAGTTCTGCATGGCATGCCGGTAGGTCCAAGTGTTGGTACCCTTATTGGGGATGGGCCCGGCTTGGTCCAACCGATCGGCCTCGGCCTGAACTTGAGTTCGGCACCAGATAGATGTTGTGCTTGGAGTTGGGCCACTTTCATTTGGGAGCCAGGTGGTACTGACAGAGGGGATGGGTCTGGTCTGGGAGTTGGGCCACTTTCATTTGGGAGCCAGGTACTGACAGAGGGGATGGGTCTGGTCTTAGGTACAGGAGTTCGAACAACTGGGCTAGCTAGCCCAGGCCTTCTTTGTTTGTTCTCGAGAGACTCCTTGTTGCCAACTCCAGAGTCCAGAACAAGCAACACCAAAGCTCATGAAAGTTTCGTGCATTTTTAAACAAAAAGCATTCCCCAAATTTTGAACTCGTACGAATGATCCAATCGGTTGGAACATCCTACGGAAAGTAGCACAGACCACGAATGAATCGATTATCCAATCAAAAGAGCACAATGTTAATTCATTCTTTGCGTCTTGCCCTTTTGTCATCCTCCACATAATTCGCTCCTTCACCCCCCGAACCCCTTGTCACCATTCAATCCCACTTCCACCGAAAGCGAGACTATACTAGTATGCTATAGCAGGCCACGTTTTGAAGGGTGCTTGGGTTTGGGCTGCCGTTCTGCTCACAATTGTTTCACTCTCTCCAAAACAAAACAGAACAAAATCCGAACAACTAGCTGCACTAGCAGTCTATTGCAAGCATAAAAATGATTCTAGCATTCATCATCTTTTCTTCTATCTTCGCCGCCTTGGCTATTGGGGCAGGTCTGCAGAGCCAAGTATACCGAAGAAACCTGTAATCAAGAATGAGGATTATCGGAATGAACCTCGGGTCCATCTCTTTGAAAATGCGGCGCTCGCTGCCTCATTCATGCTGCAGCTGCAGGTCTACTTGAAATTACTTCAATAACATAACATATATAGCCAAGACAAATGAACCGAAACACTGACTCAGCACTTGCATAGTTCTAAATAGATCACAAGGAGGATTCTTTTGTGCTGGCCCATCTTGCTTGGTCACCATTTCAGCTAGCGTGTTTCGGTAGCTACCGGTAGCTTGGTGCCATTGATCCCACGGAGCGAACCTAGCCCCAACTTCCACCTACTTTTGCTTAAAAGCCTGGCCCCTGGAGGGATTACACAGATAACTTCCCTACTCTAAACCCCCTTGATGATGGTACCTTTATCGTTGAGGTGACTACGGGGCCTTCTATCCTTGGCTTCTTCTGGTCATCGAGTCGTGGATACTTCTTGGTGTCGGTGGAGATCCGAGTTCGAGCGCAATGAAGGGAGAGTCGAGTCATCGAGTCTTCCGTAATAAGGCACGCTGCCAACTGGTACCTCAAATTAGAGCAACAGTAACTACAAGTAACCTACTATAACAATCTTATTAATCAATCATATCGTTCCTGGGACGGGACCGAAGTACGGTTGCTCCCAGATCGATTTCCCCAGCAGTTTGTAGCTGTCAGTCTGCAAGAGATGATGAAGCTCACAATTAGCTAGAACAGAAAATCAGACACATCCCACCCTACAAGAGTCACTACAAAGCTTGCAGAACCAAAACCATGACCAGGAAACAGATTTCTCTTGCCAACAACAATTTCATTATGGAGCTGGAACAGACCGAACTGGAGAGCAAGGTAAAACGAATTGACAAACGGAAAGAAGAAGAAGAAGAAGGAACAGCAAGGTGGCACCGTTACGGGAGTATGACCTGTACATCCTTTGAAACCTCCCGAGTTATGGTGGAGTACATGCCCTGTCCCGACGAGGAGATATTGGCCCTTTTTGGAACATTCAGCGGAGACAGCATTGTCGAGTTCTTT